TGACGATCAAATGTGACTAGACTCGACTCAGGAAGATCAACTGTGACTTGACTTGACTCTGGAAGATCAACTGTGACTTGACTGGACTCATAAAGATCAACTGTGATTTGGCTTGATTCATGACGATCAACTGTGACTTGACTTGACTCATGAAGAACAGCTGTGACTTGACTTGACTCATATAATGTACAGTGCTGTGCTGCATATGCTTACATACATTTAACATATATGTGAAGACGATTGCAATGTTTAGGGTTAATATAAACAGAACTTTCAGAATCTGGAATCGGATTCGATTTTTTTTTTCCCAGCCAATGAATGACAAAAAACATTGACAGCCAATCAGAATACATTTGACTTTGACCTCAAGCATTTAAAGTGGCAGACGACATATTAACAGCGCTTATAATGAACTACGTTATTGTCCATTGGTGTGGACGCTAAAGTTATTGGACCTTTACACGCGATTCACTAAATATTCCATGAATGTCAACAGCCAGTCATTCCAAAATATAAAAGGGAGAACTGAATGTCTAGATGATTTAGTAGACTATATGTTGAACTGAGGCTAACAATAAGCAATGTCTCAGAAACCCCTGCTGGCAAAGAGTTCACAGATGGAGACCAGGGGCCTCTCTCTGTGGGGACAGGTATGTAGCACAGGGGCTTTATGAGCTTGTAAAAGAGTAGCAAAGACAGAATTCAGACACCACTAACTGCAACCAGAAGATCTATGGCTGGGGACCCCAGAGAGAGAGAGAGAGAGAGAGAGAGAAAGACACAAAGAAAGAGAGAGAGGGAAGTGTCTGTGCAATTACTGTGTAATAGGTGTAGTGGCTGGGTTCACATGTTGTGCATTTCCCCTCCTGCTTCAGGGAGAATTGTTAACCTTAGCAGCTTATGTGTAGCATGGCTTCAATTAGAAAACCGGGTTAATTGGGCAGGCACACAGTAAAGTGTACAGCACTTTAAATGATCCCATCTTGCTTTAAGAAGTGGGCCATGTTGTCATCTCCATAGAGTATTCACATTTTTGCTTGTTTAGTTTAGCGTCTATACTTACACTTTTTCTCTTTTCAGGCTTTAACAGCCAGAGTTGGTACAGAAATATATGATGTCCCAAGCCTGGTGAGAAAACCCTCCTTGTCCACAGTAAGTTTTTGTTGAGTTTTTATTATTTGAGTTGTTCAGTAGCCCAGGGGTTTCCAGTTGAGGTCATGGGACACCTAGAGGTCTGCAAGAGGGCCTGCAGAAAAACTGAGAGAAAAAAATAGCTAAAAAGAAGAAGCAAAATGTAGAAATGATCAATGATTATAGAAAACATTTTTGCTTACGCACAATTTATTTTATTGACAGACATTGTTTGATCAGTATAAAAATACAGCATAAATAAAAAACAAATCCAGATATCATTTTAAAATATAGAAAATTATCAAATAAATAATATAGAGAAAAACGTGTATTGTGAAAACTGAAAATATCCTCAGGTTTATGCATCTAATATGAATACGCAGAAAAAATATGTGCTGAATTTGTCTGGAAAATATATTTATTTTTTAATTAATTATTTGTTTTGGTCTTTCACATTAGTACAGTGGCAATACTAAAACTCATTATTACATTTTGGAAACTAAAATAAAATATGTTACAAAATAACATTTAATTCTCTGAGTCTATGTACATGAAAACATTATTTTTGGGGGTCCTTGGCATTGAAAAGTTTAAAAGCTCTTGCACTAGTCATTTTCGATTATTCAGTTAAAAGACGAGAAGATTGTGAAATAATCTGCCAATTATATTGATCAAACTAAGCATCATAAATTGTGTAACTTGTCTTTTAAAGCCATCTACACTGCAGCCTTTGGAAAGGAAAACATCAGTGACGTCAAACACAGACTTTCATAATAGATATGAACTGCTGCAAAGTGCGAGATGTGCGACTGCAACCAAGAAAAGAGTAAGCATGGTAACGCCTGTACAGCAACTCATACAAACACATTAAAAACTGTCTTCACTAACGGAACTCTGATTCAGTACAGAAGCTGAATCGAATCAATTTGTGAACTATTTCTAAGTGAAATATGCTATTTATTTGCTTCTTTTTTAGGTAGCCACATTACCCCCAATGACTTCCCAAGACCCCAATTATGACATCCCAGTGCCCTCCATCAGTGAGGATATTCAAAAGCCTCTATGTGGTTATAGTACCATGCCAAAACCCTGTAAGTCTGAATGGATTTATGACATGCCTGTTTCCCCCCAAAAACAAGGATGTGAACCTTGTTACTATGGCACCATGCCACCCAAAACTATGAATTCAAACAAGCCGCTTTATGACACTTTGCCAAATCACAGCTGGCCTGAAAACAGGCATGGCCCCATCCAGCCCCTCTATGACATCCCTAAACCGAGCAATGCAGTGGTGCAGTCTTGTACAGATACTGGGAATGCAACAAATTCATGCATCTATGATGTCCCACCTTGCCTTAAACAAACAGAGAGCCCTGTAGTGTTACCCAGAAAGCAAAGCCCTCCTGAAACAGACTCTAAAAAGACCCACGAATCTCTTGAGTACAGGGATAAACCTGGACCCATGTATGACCAACTTCACCATTGGCCCTCAAGGGGCAGAACAACGTCCAGGCAGCCTGTGGAAGGAATGATTAGAAGGTATGATGAGGACAACAAAGACCACCAGAGGAGCTCAACGGTGTCCACCTCCTCCACAGCTTCCAGTTCTTCCAGGAGCTCATGCGACTCTTTCATGCTGAGTTCTCCTGAACCTGAGCCCTTGCGTGAGGTCACACTTTCACAGGAGGAAGCCAGCAACAGGTTGCTTGAGCTGCAAGAAGCAGTGTGCCAATCTGTGCCCAAGCTTATGCTGTTTGTCAGCAGCCAGTGGAGAACCAAAGAGCATCTGAGTCAGCACCTCCATCAGATCCGCATGGCCACCGAAGACGTGACTGACTCCGTCACCTGCTTCTTGAACTTCGCCTTGGATGTCAGAGGTAACGCACAGCGGCTGACAGACTTCAACTTGCAGACCAGGCTTCTGAAGCAGCTCTCCATCGTTGAAGACTCGGGCTTGATCCTTCAGCAGGCTGCAAGGACTCTGCGAGATCTGGGCTGGCTGCTAGATACGCTAGCTCAGGATGACGGCCAGTCACAGACGCCTGACCACCTGGAGCGCTTTGTTATGGTGGCTCGAACCATACCAGAGGATGTGAAGAGGCTGGTATCCATCCTGAATGCAAATGGAAAGCTTCTTTTCAGAGTCCCGGCTAAGGAACCAGTAGTGGTGGAGAATATAGGCCCGTCTGAAAGGAGAAGTCACAGCAAAAGTGAACCAATGGTAGACTCAGGAATAGATGAAAGTGATTATGTCCAACTTCAGGTAGGCAAATCACACCATAATTCTTTTCATGTTATGACCTATTACCGATAAATGGTTGATATTAAATGTTCATGAATATAGAAAAAAGTCTGCACATCTGTGCTCCAAAAATAAAAAAATGTAATAACAGACTATCACTTAGGTTTCGATTTAACCCACATGCCTTTATACAACAGGTGATTGATCACGTTATACATTTAAAAATAACATACTAACAAAAATTTAAATAGTTTAAATGCTACAAGTGAATTTAAGCATCCCAACATTATAATGTACAGTATGAAAAATGGATATTCATTTTGAAGTTTGCTAAAGATGACATGTAATAGTATTATTAAATTATTTTTTTGACTTGTGTTACTGACAGCAAAGTTAATCGAAATGTAAAAATAGAAGAAATGAACATGCATGAGAAAATATTATTGTTTTAATCTCTAATATCTGCAGTGATAAATGATATGGCACTGATATATCTTGTATCCCTGCATGTACATTTTTATAAGCATTAATTAATATTATCTGTATACTCAACCATTCAAAGGTTTGGGGTTGGTAATAAAAAAAAGCAACCAGAAAAAAAGTTTTTATGCTCACCTAGGTTGCATTTATTTTATCCATTAACAATAATATTGAGAAATGTTGTTACAATTTAAAAGAACTGTTTTATATTTTAATATATTTTAATGAGTTTAATGAATTTTTATGAGTGCTGTCAAACGATTAATCGCGATTAATCGCATCCAAAAATGTTGTTAACATAGTTAACATAACACTCATATATTATGTAAACAAAAACTTTTATTTTGGATGTGATTAATCGCGATTAATCATTTGACAGCACTATTTAAAATATTCCTGTGTAATGCAATGCTGAATTCAGTATCACATGATCTGTCAGAAATCATTATAATGTGCTGATTTGCTGCTTAAGAAACATTTCTTATGATTATCATTTGAAAAATAATTTATTATAACATTATAAATGTCTTTACAGTCACATTCGATCGATTTGATGTTTTGTTGCTTAAGAATTAAGTATTCATTTCTTTGACTCTTTTCAATTGACTCAATTTCAATTTCAAAGTCAAATTGATTTCAATTGACTCCAACCTTTTGACTGGTTGTGTCATGTTGAGTAAATGATACAAGACATGAACAATACTACTGTTTACCTAAAAATGTTAACCAATACTATTGCTTTTCAACAGACAAAGACAGAGTTCGACCAACAACCAAAGCCACCCAAAAGCAGTTTTAAATCAAAGAAGAATGGTGATACCTTGAAAAAAATGGTAAAAACTTGTGACCCTCCCAGTACAGCTCACCGTATTGCATTAACTCATTGATTTCGACTCTCTAACCATTTTATTACTCATTGTGTCTTCAAAAGGTTTCCAAATCACAGTCCATTAACCCCTGCAGTCCACTCCAGACCTCCAGGAAGCCTTCCATCTCTGACCACTGCCGGCTGTATTTTGGAGCTATTCAGAAGGCCATCAGTGTGTTTATAAGTAGCCTGAATGATGAACAGCCCCCTGAAAAGTTCATCTCCCACAGCAAGATGGTCATCATGGTGGGCCAAAGACTCGTGAACACTCTGTGTAGTGAAGCTAAAAATCGAGAGGCCAGTGGGGAAATGTTGTCTATGAGCAATCAGCTGTGTGCCCATCTCAAGCAACTGGCCATGGTGACCAAGAAGGCAGCTTTGAACTTCCCTGACAAACTGGCTCTCCAGGAGGCGCAGGACATTGCCAAAGAGCTGGCTCAAAGGGCACAACACTTCAGAATGTCACTGGACATCTGAGCAGCAGTTTGCCATCTGTTTGCCCAGTTTATCGTGTGGAGGTGGTCTGGTGAAGACAACATGGTATTTGTGAAATATCTCAATTTGTGTGATTTGTATGCGAGTCTAAACAAGCCACCCTTAAAACAAGCTCCTTTTTTTGTTCAACCTGTTAGTCTGGATGAGGAGGCAGTGTTAAAGGTAACAAAGGGACAACTTTTAATTATAACCTCAAATAATGACATGATGTGTTTACATGCACAACAGTATGCTGATGCAAGAATAAAAGCTTTTGTACAAATACCAGTTAAGGTGTTTACATAAACATTTTAAAAAATCTGTTGCAATCAGGTTTGGCTGTCACAGTTGAAAAAATGTATATACCTGATGAAAGAACATTATTTGAAGTGTTTGCATGGACTTACGTCGTTGTTGGGTTATTAAGCAATATCACTGTCATTGTGCATGTAAACACATGAAGACAAAGCAGAAAACGTGCTAGTTGCTGTGCAGATGTTAAAGTGACAGTTCACCCAAAAATGGAAATTCTGTCATAGAATGTTAATTTTTGGATAATCTGCTCTTTTTAAAAACCGTAATACAGTAACAGTCTTAAACATGACCTGGGCATCTATTAGTCTTATTCTTTGTGGTGTTCTCATTCTGCCAAACCTCAGACTTTAAATGAAAAATTGCACTTTTATAATGCCCGACACTGTATAATGATTTTTGGTCATAATAAATAGACAAAATGTATGTAGATGACTATATTATGTGTCTGAAAATTCAGTGTTTGAGCAAAATAGAAATATTTCCTCAATACAATTAATTTTTATTTTTTGTATAATTTGTCAATGTTCTAGTTTTCAATATTCACACACTGTAAGAATGTAGTATTCTGTTTTTTCACATATAATTATGTCTGTGAAAATATTTCTTCTAGACACAAATAAAATGTTACTTATAAACATTTTTTGACTGTTTATAAGACTGTTTATGTCTTATGTGATAGCCTAGTAGTTAAAGGGATAGTTCACAAAATAAATAAATAAATACATAAAAATTCCAAGTCATCATTCTTTCACTCACCATCAAGATTATTATTATTTTTTAAACCTGTATAACCGTCTTTCGTCTGTGGAACACAAAAGAAGATATAAGAACATAATAATGTTTTGGTTACTACTGATTTCCATTGTATAGATTAAAAAAAAAACCCATAGACATTTCTCAAAATATCTTTTTTAAGTTCCACAGAGGAAAAAAAAGGTCAGAGATTTGTAGAGACATCAAAGTGAGAAAATTATGACAGAATTTTCATTTTGGAGTGAACTATCTCTTTGAAGTCCTCTAGCTGTTTTACATTAAAAGGGTTCAAATTACTAGATGTGTTAGATCAAACATTTGATCATGAATGTGCAAAATTGTCTGCTAATGAGAAATGTCTGGCTTCTAATGTCAAATATAAATAACGCACTGGCGCCCTCTATGGACTGAAACTTGGAAACAATTTAGTTCTGCTGTACCCAACCAGACCCTCAACCAACAGATGGACCCCAAGTATTAAAAAAGCTGTAAATTTTAATATCATTAACTAATAACAATGGATCCTTACTTAGAAAGTTAATAGTTATTTAGAAAATACACATGACTAAAATGTCCAGTACTAAAATTGAAGAATATAGAAGTTGCTAATTCTAGTTTTACTACTAACTTTAAAATGGTTTTGAGAAATATCTTCTTTTTTTTTTTTTAAACAGTTAGCCATTATGAGACGTTTTATAATAGTGAGAGTATCATAACCATAGACTCACTGTATTAAAACAGATCATAACATGCAACAGTTCTCCCAGCGAACCGCGCCCACTGAACTCCAGACTCCTCCTCCGGTGTGACTGTACGTGCCCTGCGTCTTTGCGCTCCTCTCTTTCCCCTACACACCAGATACATCCAGACCACAGACATGGCTCCGTAAGGGTGCACATGGCGGCTTGCAGCCATGAACCAAAAAACAACTCACCAAAAACTACAGATGCTTCTCCGATTTGACTGATTTTCGATTGATCAACTTCCACATCCGCCGCAATATTCTTCAGTCCGGTTTTCAGCATTCGGGAGAGGCTGCTTGCTTGCAACTCTCACTCTGTCTCCATTTCCTCCAGACAATTTTACGTTCTTGCTCAACCCGAAATAACAGTAGATATCATATTGTACAACAACAGTTATGGGTGTGCAGGGTTTCCAGGAATACATAGAGAAGCACTGCCCCAATGCCGTGGTGCCGGTGGAGCTCCAGAAACTCGCCTGCGGGAGTCTGGTCGGCGGCGGCCGGCAGAGACCCCCTCAAACTCCGCTCCGGCTTCTAGTGGACGCCGAGAACTGCCTGCACCGGCTCTACGGCGGCTTCTACACCGACTGGGTGAGCGGGGGCCAGTGGAACCACATGCTCGGATACCTCGCCGCCCTCGCCAAAGCCTGTTTCAACGGCAACATCGAGCTGCTAGTGTGCTTCAATGGCGCCCTGGAGAAAGGCCGTCTCCACGAGTGGGTCAAGCGACAGGTGAACGAGAGGCAGACCGCCCAGCAGATCGTCAGCCACGTCCAGAACAAGGGTACCCCGCCGCCCAAGGTCTGGTTCCTGCCCCCGGTGTGTATGGCCCACTGCATCCGCCTGGCGCTCCTCAGGTTCCACATCGGGGTGAGTAGCGACAGATGCTCGCTGTGTTTTTGACATGCAGCCATTAGCTTAGCAGAACCAGACCCAGATCAAGTGAAGTGCTCATCTTACAAGACAGTAGGTTGTCAGCTAGCAGGTGGCCTAGACGGCTTTCTTGTTGTGTATCTAGGCAAACAAAACAGCTTAAGATGGTTTGCTGGTCTTAGTTGGTTGGTTTAAGCTAGTCTCACAGCCTGACCAAGCTGAAAAATTCCCCAAACCCGTCTGAAACAAGTAGTTAGACCAGACTAGCAAATCAAAGCTGTCTGTGAAACTGTTTTCTTCAGATTTGAATCAAGACCTAGCCTGGTTTTCTTGTAGCATTATTCATGTAAACAGACATGTTAAAACCAAGATCAGCAGCTGGTTTAAGCTGGTCTCACAGCCTGGCCAAGCTGAAAAGTTCCCAAAACCAATCTGAAACCAGCCAGTAGACCAAACTTGGCTGTTAGTGAAATTGCATTATTCATATGTAAACCAGTGTAGGTCTTAAATCATAACACATGTTAAAACCAAGATTAGCAGCTGGTTTGTTTTTCCCTGACTGAGCGATTGAAACTGCCCAATACCTCTCTAGAACCAACATACAGACCAGCAAATCAGCGCAGACTGGTTTAAGATGCTTTTTTTAAGCAGGGATCCAACTTTTTGGTACATAAATGCTCGGGGTGGGTGTGCAGAGGAAGACGGATCTTGGGCACAAATCTGTACGACATGCTGCTGGTATCTGATCAGATCTCATTTCCACAGGCATTTGGGGAACAGAGATGTCAGCAGTACAGGATGTAACTGCCATGTTAGTATATGAGATGGTGTTTTAGAAATTTGTTTAAAAGGCAAATCCAAAACTGTGTCTGTCTTTTAATGTCAAATATTTTAATGCACCTAACAGTGCATGCAAATCTAAAAATACTTAACATTTTTACACCTTTATTTTACAATGATATTTCAGCAGAATCAATCAAATTAACTGATTAAAAGTAAGCACAAGTGAATAAATACAAAAAGACAACATTTAAAAATCAAACAATGCAGTATTAAGTAATTATTGTATAAATAATAACAAAAAAATATTAAATATTTTTTCCTGGATCTTCAACAATAATTAAAGGTGCAATGTCTGTCTACACATTAATAACCTTATACAGTAACAACCAAATACAAACCTCTCAGAATAGAATTAAAACATGCATTTATGTATGATTGCTGAAATGAAGCCATGTAGTAGTAGGTTGTGCTGGCAAAGGAAGCGCCACCTCTGCTCTGCTGTGATTGGCTGATGTGTCACACTCTTGTGACACAAGAATAGTAAGCACTGCTCTGTGATTGGCTGCATGCTCCTTGCGTCACTTCTGCTGAGATTTAGCAGCCATACAGTCTGTGACTAAGTTTATTGGCCCTGTTTTGAGCAGAGAGACACATGACTTATGAGATTCTTGCCCATGAATGCTTTTATTTGCAATTTTCAGAGGACTTTTAGCATAAGTATTGTATGGATTATTGATATTTATGCAGGCATGGAAAATTATACTACTAGGATTTTTTTCTACTTATCTCCTATACTCATAAACATTGGATCAATTGAGAATCTATGAAATGTGGGGCAGAATATGAATGCAATATGATTGATTTAAAAATGAATTTGTTTACGAGTCAAGCCTCGTTTCCTATCAGTTAAAGCCCAGTGAACATCCTCTTGCTCAATGTATAGTTTTAAAAAGAATCATCTCTTCATTGATTCGTTCAAATAGTGCTAATCAATTAAAGCATTTGACAGAGAAACCATTATATGATACAGTTAGAAATAACATTTCCCAGACTAATCGTGCCTCACATCCTTTCATGGAAATCTTTGAAAGCCTACAGTATAATAGTCAATCTCATCAATGTAAATTTGTTTTTCTAATGAGCCTTCCTGTAATTTGCTTCCTCACTCAGGTTGTCCAGACCATCGAGGATCATCACCAGGAAGTGATTGCCTTATTTAGAGAAAATGGGTTCCATGGCCTGGTTGCCTATGATTCTGATTACGCCCTGTGCAACATCCCGTACTACTTCAGTGCCCATGCTCTCAAACTCAGCCGCAACGGCAAAAGCCTCACCACCAGCCAATACCTGATGCACGAAGTTGCCAAGCAACTTAATCTCAATCCAAATCGTTTTGTCATTTTTGCTTCACTTTTAGGTAGGTTTGTAGGATTGCCTGTCAGTTTTCAAGTCAAAAGGACATCTGCATTGGCCCTATTTGCCTAATGCATGTTCTTAGTCATATTGTGAATGATTCAGCTGTGCATGTTTTTCTGAAGACAAAATAGTGTGTCTTTATCCTACGCAAAGTTTGGGGTCAATACGTTAAGAAATTAATAGTTTTATTCAGCAAGGTTGTTCTAAGTTGATTGAAAGTGTTATGTACATAGTTACAAAAAGATTCACAAATTTCAAAAAATCATGGTTTCCACAAAAATACTAAGCAATGCGATTGATTTCAACATTAATAATAATAGGGAATGTTTCTTGAGCAGCAAACTTATTAAAACGATTTCAGAAGGATCATGTGACACTGACAACTGGAGTAATTTCAGCTTTGCCATTGCAGGAGTAAATGAAATAAAAAAAAAACTGTTATTTTAAAATGTAATAATATTTCACAACGTTACAGTTTTTACTGTTGAATTATTTATGTATTTATTTTTGGATCAAATAAATGCAGCCTTGGTGAGAATAAGAGGCCTATTTCAAAAACATTAATAAATCTAACTGACCCCAAACTTTGTGCATGTAAGATAAGGCAAGTAAAATGATGTGCAAGCCATTTGTGAATGGATTTTTATTGACTATATTAATTTGTATTTTTTTATTTTAAGGCAATTATAATTAATTCTAATGAAATTCAAACTTTCTTGACTGTCTTTATTTACTAATGCAGTAGAAGATGTTATCAATAGTGTCACAAATCATTAAATTTCATGGCTAATAAATGTTTTCCAGCTGCAATAATGACGTTTACAAGTTAGTACTTCTGCAATACATGCTTAAATAACTACATTCTATTTTTATAGGGAATCACATACTGCCTGATGAAGACTTGGCTGCCTTTCACTGGAGTTTACTTGGGCCTGAGCACCCTTTAGCATCCTTGAAGGTAAAGCCACTTATTAAAAAAAAATGTCATTTACGTGTTTATATAATACCTAGCACTGAATAGCCAAATAGCTATTTAAGAACCGTTTTGCAAACATGCATTCAGTCTTGCTCCATTCTGGTATTCCAGTTGAATATTCTTTTTTACTTGTAAATGCATCACACAGTGGAAATAAATGTGTTGTGTGTAATAATTCAAATACTTCAAGGTTTTCTACATTGACTAATACATGTTTAAAGGGTGCAAAAATAAGACTTCAGTTCTCATTAGATTCCCACAGTTACAAGCGTTGTGACCAGTTTCCTTGACAACCAGATTGAAATGAGGTCTGGCAAATAACTTATCAGGACCATGCAAAATCACTTCAGCATTGTCCTCAACGTGTACCCTTTTGATTTTAAATACTTGGTCTTTGAATTTCGGCCAAACAGTTGAGCACTGCGATTATAAAGGAAAGAGTTGAGCTGAGGAATGGCTTCATGCGTAACCTTCTGTTATCTTCTCTTAGTGTTGGTGTTGCTTGACAGATGGCTTTATTGATTCACTGTGAGCGAGAATAGAGTGGGCTATACTCGATTTTAACACCTGACTTACAGTTCTATGCGTGCTTCTTTACTTTTTGTTGCTATCACTCTCAGTTCATTTTAGCATATGTCTGTGTTTGTGTCTATAGTTGGCAATTACTTGTATAAAAAGCCTCTAAGTGGCAGTTTATGATATGCATTGTCAATTAAGCAGATAAACCTAATGTGTGTTTTTGTAAATTTGTCGGACTGTACCCAGTCAGATATGTACTCCTATGATGCCCATCACATTTTAAGCAGAAGGAGCTTTTGCTGGGAGTGTGATGGGTTGTTTTCTCTGACGCAGGTCCGTGCCCACCAACTCGTTCTTCCTCCATGTGATGTTGTCATAAGAGCCGTGGCAGATTATGTCCGCAACCTACAAGATGTCCATGACCTGGATGCTATTGCTAAAGACATATTCAAGCACTCCCAGGTAAGATAACACACCACTGTAGCACATTTAACAGGATACATCACCCCAAAATTGAAAATTCTGTCATCATTTACTCAACCCCATGTAGGACTGCATAATTAATCGGAATAAAAACAAAATCGCGATATGGCTTAGTGTGATTATCAAATCGGAAAGGCTGTGATTTAAATTTCTCTCTCTCTCTCTTTCTCTCTCTCTTTCTCTCTTTCTTTCTCTCTCTCTCTCTCTCTCCATCTCTTTCTTTCTTTCTTTCTTTCTTTCTCTCTCTCTCTCCATCTCTTTCTTTCTTTCTTTCTTTCTCTCTCTCTCTCTCTCCATCTTTCTTTCTTCCTT